CACTTGTGATGTGGGGCAGCAAGGGGGATGCAGACCCCCACACCACAGTACCATTATATTGGTTCACTTGTGATGTGGGGCAGCAAGGGGGATGCAGACCCCCACACCACAGTACCATTATATTGGTTCACTTGTGATGTGGGGCAGCAAGGGGGCACAGACCCCCACACCACAGTACCATTACATTGGTCCACTTGACATCACATTCAGTAGTTCGTCTACTAAAACAGCATCTAATTTGTACACTATAAATACAAAATTCTATTAAAATTTCAGTATATACTGTACATAAAAAGTCGAGGCCAATACAAACGATACAAAAAAAATACCGTAGTGAAAATAAAACCTTGGGGGCTTTGATTTTCTATTTTCACTGTGGTATATTTTTTAGATATTTGCAATGTGTTTTTTTTGCGATTTCCATAACTTCGTGTTACCGATTTGATACCCAGGATATTTTCCTGTTTTTTTAATGGGGGTATTAACAACCATTCCCCTAAAAAACATCCATTTTTCTCACTGATTTGTAATATATCCACAAATGGATGGGAACAGAAGACGTGTTGAGAAACAAAGAAAATAGAATGAAAGATTCCTAAGTCATTAGACTCGTTAGAAAATACAATAACAGTAATTAGATAATATCAAATTTGTTTTTTGATAAGCAATAATTATGGAAGTGTTACAAAGGTCCATAAATAACGGTAATACCTGTGGAAAATATTCGTGAAACAATATATGGAAATGTTACAAAGGTACATAGTGGTAAAACCTATGCAAAATATTCCACAAGACAATGTAAAAATATGGAAATGTTACAAAGGTTCATAGTGGTAATACCTATGTAAAATATCCCATGAGAATGTAACTGGTGATTGCTTGGCTTCTAACTGTAGATGTATATAAGTCCAGTCTCTCCTCACTTAGCGACGTACTCGTTTACCGACGCCTTGGACTTATGACAGGCTCTCTGATCAGCATGCATGCCTAAATAATGCATATTAGAGCTGATTTCATTTATTCAATATACAGTACAGTACTGTATAAACATTTAAAAATATACCAGAAATGTTACAAATGGAGCAAAGGTGACATTAAAACAATATCAAAGATGGTTGACACAAACTCACTACCATTACAGCACGATCCTCACTAAGCCATGAATTCGTTTAATGACGTGGTCTCAGGAATGGAACACAAACTCACTACCATTACAGCACGATCCTCACTAAGCCATGAATTCGTTTAACGACGTGGTCTCAGGAATGGAACACAAACTCACTACCATTACAGCACGATCCTCACTAAGCCATGAATTCGTTTAACGACGTGGTCTCAGGAATGGAACACAAACTCACTACCATTACAGCACGATCCTCACTAAGCCATGAATTCGTTTAACGACGTGGTCTCAGGAATGGAACACAAACTCACTACCATTACAGCACGATCCTCACTAAGCCATGAATTCGTTTAACGACGTGGTCTCAGGAATGTAACTCTGACGTTAAGTGAGGAGAGGCTGTAGTTGTAACTGAAGGCGCCATTATTAACCTTGGGTAAAATCCACTTTGTTCCATTTATAATAAATTAACCTCTTAAAAAAATGCCATAAAACTTGATTATATAAACTATATAAATGTTCCAACAAGCAATTGCACTTGTAATTAAGATTAATAATTCTTCTCTAATCTCATGTCAGCTGAAACATTTTCACCTCTAATTTCATAATATTATTATAATCTCTCACTAGGTTCGCACTGGCTAAAGGGATACAGGAAAGCCGTGTGTATTCGTCACTTGTTTTCGGTGTTCCGTGTTTTTGTTGGCTTTCAACTGAGTCGTTGTTTATGACGTCTGATACTTTTTTAGCACAACAGTTGTCTAAGGAAATGGCGACTGGTGCCACATTTTAAGGTAAGTATTTTATGTATTGTGTATTAGTATTAGTACAGTGGACCCCCCGGTTAACGATATTTTTTCATTCCAGAAGTATGTTCAGGTGCCAGTACTGACCGAATTTGTTCCCATAAGGAATATTGTGAAGTAGATTAGTCCATTTCAGACCCCCAAACATACACGTACAAACGCACTTACATAAATACAGTGGACCCCCGCTTAACGATCACCTCCAAATGCGACCAATTATGTAAGTGTATTTATGTAAGTGCTTTTGTACGTGTATGTTTGGGGGTCTGAAATGGACTAATCTATTTCACAATATTCCTTATGGGAAAAAATTCGGTCAGTACTGGCACCTGAACATACTACTGGAATGAAAAAAGTTCGTTAACCGGGGGTCCACTGTACACTTACATAATTGGTCGCATCGGGAGCTGATCGTTAAGCGGGGGTCCACTGTATTCTGTATTGTGTATAATATTATATTATTGTGCATAATATCGTTATATATTATACACAAGTCCAGGAAGTCACCTATGTATTTGTAAGTTAAGGACTTACTGTATTGTATATTTTGTTTTGTTTAAGACCCACGTCAGGAAACACTTGTCCTGTTCCCTGACGAAACCTATGTAAATTTTGCATCTTGTTTTTATAGGCCTAGCTGTATTGAGCACTTAATATATGATAGTGTAAATATGTTATCAGGTATTTTAGACATTTGATATTGAAAAAAACACTTTTCCCACCTGCAAAAACGTGGAACACTTAAAAGAGGATGCTGTATATGTGGAACTTGTGTATATGGGACACTCCTGTATCATTAATTTCTAATTTAACAATTTCTGCAGAAATAAACAGAATCAACAAAGCAAATTAATACACATTTTACAAAAATGTTTTGTAACACTGACCAGCCGGGCTGTGGCTCGTACATTGGGTTGCGTGCAGCCAGCAGCAACAGCCTGGTTGATCAGGCTCTGATCCACCAGGAGGCCTGGTCACAGACCGGGCCACGGGGGCATTGACCCCCGGAACTCTCTCCAGGTAAACTCCAGGTAAAGCTCGATGCACTCAATATGCAGTACAAATCTCAACAAACACCATATTGGCAATCATCAATCACAATTAGCTAAGTTTAATTTACACATATTAAACATACTAAATAAACTAATCCATAAAAGGCATGAATTTCTACTTAACATTTTACAGAATGCCCAGAAAAAACTCAACTTCTTCAAAAACAATTCGTAATTCTGAATATTTTTTGCGTATAACAATACGGGTGGTACTCGACTTACCATGGGTTACATTCTGACGAACCCGTCCTAAGCTGGAAGCATCATGAGTCGAATATGAATAAATGCTCAATAAATAAGTTAATAATTATTATCACTGAATAAGCAAATAAATAATTACTCTAACTAACTACCAGTATTGAAAAGTAAATAAATAAATACATGTTAGGGACTTGTTGCCTTCATGTTGGGTAATTATTTTAAGTTTCTTCTCCAAAGTAATTGTTTTGCACCGTCGTAAACTTGAAATATTGCAAGTCAAACTATCCTAAGTCCAGGAGCATCTGTACTGTATTTCATTTAAATACCACATTATTATCATCGAAACCATGTGCTAAACTCATAGGGTCACTATAAATACTACGGTTATCTTGCTGTCAACTATTTAAAAAAATTTAGTACAGTTCCAACACCTGCTAACACCAACATGCATTTGTTCTCGCATCTCTTAACAGCCAGCATAAAAAAAAAACATAACAGAAAATAATTTACTCATTACAATTATAACTAAATACTAAAACCAGAAGTAGTGGGACAGAAGTCTTCAATTTACAAGCACATTTGGGACCTCCTGTATTGTACAAGTTCTATCCGACTTATGACCTGCTCTACATACGACTACTCGTACTTATGACCGTATGTCTGGCAGCATATACAGTAGTAAAATATTTAGTAAAAAGTAATATATGATACTATATAGGTACTTTATATAGCAAAGGTTTGACACTATGCCCTACCTAGTATGTCGGCAATTTTCTAAGGTTTGACTTGTGTCCATTTTGACTTACGACCTGTTGGTCGGAACCAAGCTCGGTCATAAGTCAGCCAGCACCGTAGCACTGATATTATACAGAAAATAATACAATAATGATACACACAATACAGTAGATTCTCAACGTGTTTGTAATGCTATAAAACTTGCTTGAATGCTAAATAATTTTGACATTTTACACAGCATTTACTGAGAGAAATTATTCCTGTAGCCTTTAATGGATCTGCAAAAATTGCCACGAATTCATTTTACATTGTCTGCAGACTCGGGGATTAGATCTGATCTAGTAGTAAGGCACAAACTGACACTATGAACCTCCTGGTCCAGCCTAACTTAGGTATTTCTTGTATAAGATTCTCTCTATTTTTCTGTTTCTCTCTGTTTTTCTTTCTCTTCTCTCTCTCTCTCTCTATGTTTTTATTTCTCCCTCCATTGGGAAATAAATACAGTATAAGCTTTATACTTTCCCTCCTTCAGAGTGCAGACACTGTACTTCCCATCTCCAGGACTCAAGTCCGGTCTGCCGGTTTCCCTGAACCCCTTCATAAATGTTACCTTGCTCACACTCCAACAGCACATCAAATCCTAAAAATCATTTGTCTCCATTTGTTCCTATCTAACACGCTCATGCATGTTTGCTGGAAGTCCAAGCCTCTCGCACACAAAACCTCCTTTACCCCCTCCCTCCAACCTTTCCTAGGCCGACCCCTACCCTGCCTTCCCTCCATTACAGATTTATACACTCTTGAAGTCATTCTATTTTGTTCCATCCTCTCTACATGTCCAAACCATCTCTAGGGGGCTGAGGGGTTATTGAAATGGTTTGGGCATGTAGAGAGGATGGAACAAAACAGAATGACTTCAAGTGTATAAATCTGTAGTGAAGGGAAGGCAGAGTAATGGTTGGCCTAGAAAAGATTGGAGGGAAGGAGTAGAGGAGGTTTTGTGTACGTGGGGCTTGGACTTCTAGCAAGCATGCGTGAGCGTGTTAGATAGGAACAAATGGAGACAAATGTTTTTTGGGACATGATGTGCTGTTGGAGTGTAAGCAAGGTAACATTTATGAAGGGGTTCAGGGAAACCGGCAGGCCGGACTTGAGTCCTGGAGATGGGAAGTACAGTGTCTGCACTCTGAAGGACGGGTGTTAATGTTGCAGTTTTATAACTGTAGTATAAAGCACACCTCTGGCAAGACAGTGATGGAGTGAATGATGATAATTTTTTTTTTCTTTTTTGAGCTACCCTGCCTTGGTGGGAGACAGCCAATGTTATTAAAAAAAAAAAAAGTTTCATTAATTTTTTCTAGCATTTATTTCTGCTTTCCGATTAATGAAAAAAATTACATACAGTGGACCTCCGCTTTACGATCACCTCCCAGTGCGACCAATTATGTAAGTGTATTTGTGTAAGTGCGTTTGTACGTGTATGTTTGGGGGTCTGAAATGGACTAATCTAATTCACAATATTCCTTATGGGAACAAATTCGGTCAGTACTGGCACCTGAACATACTTCTGGAATGAAAAAATATCGTTAACCGGGGGGTCCACTGTGTATTGCACATAAACAAGGGATCACTGTACTCTTATGCTACATTATTAATTTCAGCACAAAAAACAGTAACATGAAGGAAGGAAAAATTTACATGCCATGAAACCAGAGGTATAGTCTGTTATATTAGGGACCCCCAAATTGTGGCCCGTGGGCCACATGTGGCCCTTCTAGGAAATGGATGCAGCCTTCGCATGAAATGATCGTTTAGCAAAATTATTATAATCAAAAAGAAGTGCTAAACCCTCAAGGTTCAGCACACAAAATGACAAATTCACTTTTATTTAGGTTCCGCACCACAGTGTCAACAAAACCACGGCTCTCTGGGGACCACTGCTCTATAGAGTATAGATATGACAGTGCAAGTGTTGCATCTCAATTTCTCTAATGCTATGCAACGAAGGTAATATGCAACAGCAAGATATGACTTTTTCAATTGAAAATAGGCAAAAAATATACTTTTTTCAGTCGCGTTTAAAAACATATATTTGTAAGTTTTCATCTGTATTCCATTACGTAATTTTCTTATAACTTTATTTTTTGGTTGTGGATCCATGTCAAAAACAGTTTGAAGCCGCGGCATCACCAAATGTACACCTCACGAAATCGTAAGAACATGATTGTAAACAAACCATGAAATTGATGGGATTTGAACCGATGGTGAGAGAATCGTAAAACTCAAGGCCAATGTGTTAACTGGGCCAGCTGGTTACAATAGAGTCATTAACTAGGATGAATCTTATTGTAGCCAGCTAGCCAAGTGGTTTACCCCCTGCCTTCAATTTTGCAACTCTCATGCCATGGGTTCTAACCCCACCTATTTCAGATGTATGGCATTCATATCAAATATAAACATTTCAACAATAACCACCAACTATGAAAATACCTCGGGAATTTTGACACCCAAACGGTGCACTATTAGCATTTTCAACTATTTGTACCCTTTTTCTTACTGATTATTATTACAATCAAAGCTAAGTGCTAAACCCACGAGGGTCATGCAGCATTCATACTGATTACAGTTTAGAAGGAACAATAATATGAGTACTGTCCCTTCATTTCCCAAAACGTAACATTAAATTGTTTGTTTATTTTTTGCAAATTCTATATTGTATGGTGAGTATTTGCAAGATGGAGTAGACACTCCCCACTCTTACAAAAATAATATAAATAAACATTATGAAAACCTGAAGTGTTGTGAATACTTGTCATTGCTTAATAATATGCCACATGGAGACAAACTAAACCGATCTGTATATTTCGACCCCCTTCTGCAGGGGTGGATACACTATGAAACTGATCATGCTTAAGCTTGAGGGGCCCCTAATCCTGGAGGGGCCCCAGAAGCCACCTTAGCCCACATTACTTAAAATTCTGGGGTCTACTCTATGTGAAGGGGTTGCAAAGGGGGCCCCATAACAGTTCAAGCTTCTGGGCCCCAAAAATGAAGGTTCCCTACTGCCTTCTGGGATCCTCTTCTGCTGAAGAGGATTGAAATATACAGACCAATTAATCTTCTGAGTTTCTATCTACATGTAGGTTATTATTGAGCATTATTTATAAGGATTATAACTAATAACTTGCTTTATCTGGTCAGAAAGTAATTCTTTTTCTGGATTGACTGGCAAATAGCGCGACAAGAGTGTTGACCGAGCAAGCCTTGACGACGAAACTGAAACCGAGCTAAAGTGACACAATAAACACTTTCTGGAAACGCTGTACTCGACGCTTCTCTCAACTCTGAGGAAAAAAGCGACGTAACTCATCTGGAGGCCTCATCATGGACTGGGCCATGGGGGCATTGATCCCCAGAATACCCTCCAGGTAGATTTCCCAGTCATGTTCCAGTCATGTCCATTATTTTGCGTAAAGTGGTAAACCCATTGTCAGTAATGCTCATATTATGCTATGTAACGAACAGAATTAACTGGCTAAGTACTGATGAATCTACATCATATATACTGTATATATATTATGATCACATAAATAAATTGTAAAACAAGTATATATATAACCTGAACTGAATGCCACTATATAAATCTGGGTAATCACACTTTATAAATCTGGGTAATCAGTTACTCCTTCCTTGGCTATTATCATTACTTAGAAGTTACCAAATACTTGAGATTTATAATACATATCTACTTGGTCTGAGCAAGGGGCTAGTAACCCCTTCTCCTGTACAGATTACTAAATTTAAAAAGAAAAACTTTCATTTTTCTTTTTAGGTCACCCGGCCTTGGTGGGATATGGCCGATGTGTTGAAAAAAAAAAAAAATTCTACTACGTGTGTCTAGATCATCATTAGTTTTTCTTAATACAGGATTATACTACATAGAAATACATATTGAGCTTCGACGAACTTCAGTGAAGATTTTATCCATATTGAATGCATAGCCTATCAAAGAAATATCAGTTAACGGGTATTGAGTATGTGGGACTAAGACACACATGTCTTGTTCTTACAATGTTGGTACAAATATACCTGTACAGATATTCGGTAACATCGTGTTAATGGGTGAGGACGCTGTACACCAAGAACTAATAAAAACCTTGTTATTAAAAATTCTGACTGTTAAATGCTGTACTACAAGGTTCATGGGATCAAACAGAAAGATTTCCGTCTTGTGGTTGTACATGTACAGTATCTTCAACGCTACGGTACTCTCAACTCCTAGGCTGAGGGACTGATTACCTCCCTATTCTGTGAGACTGATTACCTCCCTAGGCTGAGGGACTGATTACCTCCCTAGGCTGAGGGACTGATTACCTCCCTATTCTGTGAGACTGATTACCTCCCTAGGCTGAGAGACTGATTACCTCCCTATTCTGTGAGACTGATTACCTCCCTAGGCTGAGAGACTGATTACCTCCCTATTCTGTGAGACTGATTACCTCCCTAGGCTGAGGGACTGATTACCTCCCTATGCTGTGGGACTCATTACTTCCCTATGCTGTGGGACTGATTACCTCATCTACTGTATTATAGTCTTACTGTCTTCCAATTATGTTCTTGAATTTATATTGATAAAGCTACTAGATGTCAAAACATTTACAATAAAAATACTCAGATGTTGTACATGTGTCTTAATTTTTATCTTGTGGTAGTTGAGCGAACTATTCTTGAACTTAAATGCCCTTGACTGATTGTGATCCACTTGGCCAGGAGCTGTACACTGGTACTGAGAACCTTGGTAACACAGAGAAAATGTTCGAAACTTGGAAAGTAACCTTCGTAACTTTTGTTTTTTAAAAAGCATTAAACAAAATTTGACCCAAACATCTACCATGCTTTATCTAAATGACTAACAACACTTGTACCTAAATGCTAATCAAAATTATTTTTCAATACTGCATGGCTAAGCTAGATATAATAAGAATGGAAATATTCTGAAGAAGGAATGTAGCTATCCATTCTTATATAAATAATTTGAAATTACAGAATGATAATGTATAATGTGGTGGAATGTACAGTGAGGGTTGATCCTACAGGTAGGCAGAGTGGCGTGAATTGCTCTGCTCCAGGGCAGCTAATACATCTTGTTTAAGTCGCACATAAAGTTTGCCTCTTTTCCATGGGTTCTGTAGCTGTAGTGGCCGAAAATCTTCACGCAAGCATCGCTCACGCATGCCAATCACAGCCACTAAACAAAAGTCCTTGAGTTTATCATTTCCATAAGTAGGGCCACTTTTTCCCTTAAGCACGACAGCTACATTAAGTTGTTTCACTACCAAGTCTATCACTTCTCGAGCTGTTGTCCTGGGGGTAATGTGTATTTTAACCGAGGTGCCCGATGCCATACCAGTCTGATATGCAGCATACACCCGTATAATGGTGAAATCTTCATTACGTGCAGCTCCTTCGACTAGTTCCTCACCCTCTGTACTCTTCGTTTCACTGCGCCCACTCTCTGAGCACATAAGACTCAAATTGTCCGTTTCAGTTTCATTTGAGGATAAGGACCGCAAACTAGCAGTCATGCTGGAGAATGAAGCTTCTGAATCATGGCTCAGACTACTCCCTGCCCTCTGCATATCAACATTAAGGTTACTACCATATCGCTGGTGCAAATCAAAGCAACTACTCGTTGGGGATTTACTACAAGCCATGTTTTCTTCGTATTCGAGATCGACACTATTTTTTTTTCTCTTGCCTTGTTCTATAGACTCTAATGACACAATACTCTGATTTATTTTTGGTTCACTAGTACAACACTGAGATTTTAAGCACCCCTCGTGAGTATCATAAAATGCAGGAGCACTGGCCTTTCTGGGAGGGTACCCATTGTCTACACAATGTTGCAAATGATTTTCACTTCTAGAAGTTGGAAGGTCTTTACTGTACATTTTTCTATCACCACTATATTCCATTTTTTCATGTGTCCATGAGAGAAGTGGAACATTTTCATTCTGTTCCCCACTGTCTAATAAACAATCATTTAACGAGTTATAAGATTTGATACAACTATGAACGCAACCACTACTATGGACTAAGCATTCTGCTGTTTTTGATTTGTGAAAACGCATCTCACATTTGACCGCAGCCCGTATGTTTTCCGAGGTATTAGACTTCAGCATTCTTGGTGTTTCTGACTTTTTCGCACTAAAACTGAGATCATCGTCTTTTCTTAACCTTTTACTGTCTGCACCATGCTGAAGTGACTCGCTGGAACTATGAGTATCTTGTGAAGGTGATGTGGTTGCAGGCATGTGCGAGGTAGTCTGCTGCGCTGCTGGCTGGCGAGTGGTAGAGGGGAATGAACAGGACAACAAGGTCATTAAGGGGGCGCCAGATGCAGCCTTATCGCGAGCATAGCTAATAGCATCCATAACCCACCTAAGGCCTCGCCATGTAGCGTCCAGCTGTTCCTGAAATGTCTGAAGCTGCCATAGTCGGTATCGAGAGCAGTTAATTTCATCTTGACTGAAAGCTTCTCGGCTGGCATGCTGGGCCATCAGTGTATCCATTTCGAGGATGTATGAAAGTCGAGCATACCTCCCTATTAATTCCCTTTGGTATGTGCCCATGTGTATCATTTCAAATATCTGGAGGGGCAAGGTTGCCAGATTAGGCTGGGAAAAGAGTGCATCTTCCTGGCCTGGAGCAGAGCACACAGCATCCACAGGTGGCATCACAAGGAGAAGAGCAACATCAGGACTCAGTTCTAATACTTCTCGACAGTAAAGTCTATGTTGGTGCTGGGTGCTTTCTTCAACCTCCAACTGTGTTAATAGCTGCTGTGTGGATTGACAGAGTTGAGAATGCCACACACGCTGTGCCGGAGATGGAACACTTGGGAGTGGAGAGTGACCCTCTCTTTCACTCTCGACTGACTCTGTCCCGCCACTGAGGTTCCACTGCTCTGTGCCGGCTAATTCTAAGCTCTGCACCCACTCCCACTCCTCTCTGCAACATAATAATAATACTAATTTAAAAAATTATCAGCATTATGAACAATATTAAAGTGAAAGTACAGGTGTTCCTTGACTTACGATACTTCAACTTTACATCGGTGCGAAAGCAATCACTTTGGAGATGAAACAAGATAATTACCCAACATGAAGGCTGTGGCAAGTCCCTAAATTTTCAATACTGGTATTTAGTTAATTACAGTAATTACATTTTTTTTTGTTTATTTACTTATTTAGTGACAGTAGTTATTTACTTGTTTATTTATCATATTCACATTCAACTTTCGATTACAGTGGACCCCCAACCAACGAAGGCATCGTCTAATGATAAATTTGACTAACGAAGTGTTTGAGCGTGAAAATTTTGGCCCAACCAATGATGAAAAACTCGACCAACATGATTCGTCCCGAACGCATCCACGTGTCCCATCTGGTCTGAGCACGCCTTAGCTGCCCTGTCTTCACTTAGTGTGCCAGTGTTTACAAGCCAGTGTGGTCGCATCCACGCATGCATTCAGTACATTTTGTATTATTCCAGTATTTTTAGTGCTTGTAATTGCAAAACAAGCCACCATGGGCCCCAAGAAAGCTTCTAGAGACAACCCTGTGGTAAAAAGGGTGAGAATTACAATTGACATGAAGAAGATCATCACAAAGTATGAAACTGGAGTGCGTGTCTCCGAGCTGGCCAGGTTGTATAATGAACCCCAATGAACCATCGCTACTATCTTAGCCAACAGAAAGGCAGTCAAGGAAGCTGTTGTTGCAAAAGGTGCAAGTATGTTTTCGAAACACAGACTGCAAGTAGTCAAAGATGTTGAGAGACTGTTATTGGCATGGATAAACAAAAAACAGATATCAGGAGATAGCATCTCTCAAGTGATCATATGTGAAAAGGCTAGGCGGTTGCATGACAATTTAATTAAAAATGAAGGTAAAGTGTCATTTATTCTTCATTACTCAATATACATATGTATACATGTATTGGGCATGTATCCTTCTGTTTGTATGTAGGAAAATGTATATTTCATGTGGTAAAAATATTTTTTTTTTCATACTTTTGGGTGTCTTGAACGGATTAATTTGATTTTTATTATTTCTTATGGAGAAAATTAATTCAACTAACGATAATTTCGTCTAATGATGAGCTCTCTGGAATGGATTAATATCGTTGGTCGAGGGTCCACTGTATTTATAATGGGTTTATCAGAACCTAAACCCCAGTGTAAGTTGATAACCACCTGTGATGGATAGCTACAAATAAAAAAAAACCCAGAATCTGTATTATTACACTGTCTCACAGTGTAATGAAGGGTGAAGAGAGTCCATAAACCAGGCTATGGGGGGCACTGACCCCCAGAACACCCTCCTGCTACACTCAACCTACACTCTGGCTACACAGTATAATACTGGTTCCTTAATTAACTGTTAAACACTGGTTTTCTATCATATATTCTTTACTTAAATTATTTACCAATTAGTTTTGACTGTAATAATAACAATTTACTTGGAATACAAATGCCTTTCCAAACATTTTTCTAAACCACAGTTACATAAACATTAGGTGTTCCTCGACTTACGACAATGAAACCATTGTAAGTTGAAACTATCGTAAGTCAAATGTGAATATAATATGCTAAATAAATAAATTAATAAATAACTGCCACTGTATTAGATAATTACTGTAATTAAATACCGGTTTTGAAAAGTTATAGAATGAATACAAGTTAGGGACTTGATACCTTCATGCTGGGTAATTATCTGTAGTTTTATCTCCAAAGTAACTGCTGCTGCACCAATGTGACCCTCATGGGTTTAACACTTCATTATGATTACAATAATTTGCACCATTGTAAGTTGAAATATCATAAGTCGATCCACTGTAAATCAAGAACATCTGTATTTTGATTATGTTTTTCCGTGATTAACATTACTTATCTTCCATGCATAATTTTATAAATGGTTTAGAAAACTGACATGTCGAAGAATGAGACGCTTGTGAAACGTTTGGGAATCCTTATTGAGAAAAGTTTCTCTAGCCAATGACTGAAAAAGCCACCGACTGGCAAAACATTTCCTTGATAACGATTCCCAAATGCTCCAAATGCTGGAAATGAATGGTATAAAATACCAACACAATGGAAATATAAACACATGAACAGTACAATGTGATCCTTTATTGACAATGTTTTGCCCACACAGTGAGATTTATCAAGTCACAAACGGATCTACCTGAGTGAAAGGTACGTGAGTATTTATAGGATGATAGATGGAGATTCGTCTGTAAAAACTTGCATTTGTGGTCACAGTGGTGCCTGTGCTAACCTTCCTATGGTGTGGAAATATACCTAGTTGGACGAATCTTATTGTGGCTAGCTGGTCTAGTGGCTAACGCGACGGGCTGGAGTTTTGAGACTCTCTGACCGTGGGTTCAATCCCGGCCGTGGTATGGTTTATAGGATGAAGTCAGGTTGAAAATGCTGACCCAGCATTCTCAACTTGACTTCATCCTAGAAATACTCATGTACCTTCCACCCAGGTAGTTCTGTTTGTGACTTGATAAAGTCCACTGTGTGGGTGCAACATTGTCAATAAAGGATCACATTGTACTGCTTATGTGTTTATAGCCCCAAATGCTCATGCTCATGATTGTAACCATGTGTAGACGTGAGGATGATTCATTACCTTTGTAACTTGTCATGATTGTGACCAGATCTACCTGGAGTTCATTACCTTTGTAACTTGTTCAGCTATCATAACTTTGGGGTCCAGTCCCTGGACCCATTATGTACCTCTGTAATGTTGAGTTACAGTCCCTGGACCCATTATGTACCTCTGTAATGTTGAGGTACAGTCCCTGGAGCCATTATGTACCTCTGTAATGTTGAGGTACAATCCCTGGACCCATTATGTACCTCTGTAATGTTGAGGTACAGTCCCTGGAGCCATTATGTACCTCTGTAATGTTGAGGTACAATCCCTGGACCCATTATGTACCTCTGTAATCTTTTGACTGCCACCCACAGGATGGGTCTGGGGTGCATAATAAAGAAATTAAACTAACTAACTAACTAACTGACGCAAGTGGCTTTCTTTGTGTGGTATGCAAATTGTTGATCACATGTAATAAAGTACAATAAATCCTCAACTGATAAACACATTGAAAGTCTTCTGTATTGTGTATATCATTACATCATTGTGTATATTAGTTAGTTAGTTTAATATGTTTATTATGCACCCCATACCCATCCTGTGGGCGGTAGTCACCCCATACCCATCCTGTGGGCGGTAGTCACCCCATACCCATCCTGTGGGCGGTAGTCACCCCATACCCATCCTGTGGGCGGTAGTCACCCCATACCCATCCTGTGGGCGGTAGTCAAAAGATTACAGAGGTACATAATTGGTCCAGGGACTGGACTCCAAAGTTTTGATAGCTGAGCAAGTTACAGAGGTAATGAACTCACAATTTACAAAGGTAATGAACTCACAATTTACAAAGGTAATGAACTCACAATTTACAAAGGTAATGAACTCCAGGTAAGTCTGGTCACAATCATGACAAGTTACAAAGGTATTTACAGATTACAGAGGTACGTAATGGGTCCAGGGACTGGGCCCCCAAAGTTTTGATAGCTGAACTAGGTACAAAGGTAATGAGCTCAAAAGGGTTACAAAGGTAATGAATTCTGTAGAATGGTTTACTTACGTTTATACTTTGGCTACAATCATGAACAAATTATAGAGTAATGAGCAATTCACACTTCCACACCCGGTCACAACTGTAATGAGTTATTAGTACACCTACCATCCGACTTATGACCGAGTTCGGTTCCGAGAAACCGGTCGTAAGTCGAAATGGTCGTAAGTCGAACTTTACTACTGAATATCAACAAAACATTTTTGTAATGACTATTTTATTGTTTTATTTTGGTATTTCATGTTTTACCTTACTTTTTATGCTGTAAGTACTGTATTTTAAACTGTAAGGTTTAGGATAAACACTGTGTACAACACAGATAGTTGTTTATTTCCCAGAAATTTGGCATAAAAAACACAGTCGTGTATATCATTATTATACACAGTTGATAAGGTCCCCAATGTGTTTGTAAATTGAGGACTTACTGTACTGATAAGCACAAAATAATAAAATTTTGATCTGATATGATTTTTCATTTTACAAATTGACAAGTTACAAACCTCGAGACATGTGGATTGTCCCTGATTTTAACATGAGGGAACATATTAGGGGTTTTGTCTGGCACTAGCACCTGCAGAACATCCACTGAACTCTGCAATTTGAGGTAGCCCAAGTACAGTCCTCGACGCAGCGGAACACGACTCACTTTATCGTAGAGAATCTGGTCTTGTATTGACAACAGCAAAATGTCACCCGCTGAGGTTCCAGACTCGGTGTGTGTTGAACTTTGCCCTGCAACAATTTAAAGAAATAATAATTAAAGTACTTCCGCTATATCTGTGGGGGATATGTTTCAAGACCTACCATGGATACCAGAAACCATGGATAGTAGCAAACCCTATACAGCCTCTCCTCACTTAGCGACATACTCGTTTACTGACAACTCAGGCTTACAATGGGCTCTCTGACTAGTATGCATACGTAAATAATGTATATTAGAGCTGATTTCCTCTATTCTGTTATTACAATATACAGTACACTACTGTATAAACATTTAAAAATATACCAAGAACTGTTATAAATAGTGCAAAGATAACATTAAAACAATATCAAAGATGGTTGACAAACCCACTACCATTATAGTATGATCCTCACTTAGCCACAAATTCGTTTACTGATGCGGTCTTAGTAACAACTCCATCATTAAGTGAGGAGAGGCTGTATAGTAGACTTTAAGAAACTAAGAAACAAGATGTTAAGGATGGGGAACTATCAATTACTGTAATTTATGGTGAACAAGATGGTCCAGTGTTCAGTGTGCACCACTATATAACACTGGTAATTTAGTGTTTGGCTTTTATTAAAATAATCCAGTGTCGAGGATGCCCTCTGCCCCAGTTCTAACTGGCTAAATTTTGGAAATAATAGGATAAATGGTATTTAGGCTTCCAAGACACTGGGTAACTTCACAAGATACATTTTGGGAAAAGATAGCGTCTTCGATGCCATAAAATATGGTAATTAGAAAACAGAATGAATGGGGTTAGAACTAATGGCAAGTGAGTTGTGAAACTCCAGGCCAGTGTGTTAATTCCTGGGCCACCTGGATACAGTAAGACTGATCCAACCAGGTACATTTCCTAGTTGGATGACCTGTCATGGGAGGGTCCTTGATACTAGTGAGGGGCTTTTGATCTAGGGCCCCTCAAGGGAGGGTCCTTGATGGTGGTTGATCTAGGGAATTGAACCTGTGCTCCAATTCCCTGAATTAAGCCTCAGTGCCTTCCATCTTCCCCCAGGCGCTGTATAATCCCTCCGGGTTTAACACTACCCATGATAATAACTATCCTAGTTGGATGACTTTTACTGTAGCCAGTTGGTACAGTTGTTAATACACTGGCCTAGAGTTTTACCACCCAATTGCCATGAGTTTAACTCCACCTGTGAGTCATGAGTTGTGATGAATTAGTAACATAAATAAAGATTCAGAAAGACTTTTCAAAAGGCTTGTTTTATCCTGTACCAATGCTGTGTGACCCACTTACACCCAGGATGCAACCCACACCAGTCTACTAACATCCAGAATGCAACCCACACCAGTCTACTAACACCCAGGATGCAACCCACACCAGTCTACTAATACCCAGGATGCAACCCACACCAGTCTACTAACACCCAGGATGCAACCCACACCAGTCTGCTAACACCCAGGATGCGACCCACACCAGTCCCTTAACACCCAGGTATCCATTTTACTGATGGGTGAACATAGACAACCAGTGTAAGGAAACACGCCCAGTATTTCTACCCTCACTGGGAACTGAACCCGGACCCTCACTGTGTGAAACCAGAGCTTTGCCAACCAGGCCACGGGGCACCTAACTAATAATAACTAAGTTAATAATAACCCAGCAAAAAGCTGCAGTGCAAATGATTACACAGTCAACTGCTAGACAATCCTTCCTCCTTTTCAGACACCTAAACCTACTCACTATTTAAAATATGTATTCACTAATACTACTGTGCAACCTACATATACAGAACAATAAATTCTAATATCAATCCCGACCTGAAGCTCTTGATAGTTGCATTAGGACCCATAGGCATAATACTAGGCATAAAAATCTCTTTGGCATAACCCGTGTCTGAATAAATCTCTGTAAATATTCGATGTACATAAAAGGCCCCAAAATCTGGAACTGTGTTGGAAATCTTCAGAGTCACTGTCTCAGCCAACATCTTCAAAACTACCATTAAAAAACACCTTCTCTCCCTAACATATCCCAACACCAGCTAAATATGTGAAAACTATGTATCCGTACTCTCATTGTCACAAACATGTGGAAAATAGTATAATCTTAATCAAAATATCTGTAATCCTCTCAACCATTAAAATATTGAATGTGTCCCGCAGTTATGTTATTATGCTAGAATCCTTAATACTCATCATCATAGTTAAACCTGTTATTTTTAAAACAATTAAACTTGATAAAAGTCTTATAGCATGTACTAAAATAATATTCAATTCTCTTGTATTAATTATAACTCCAAAATTTTTTACATCCACCCAAGTGTATACATAAGCAATCAATTAGTCACTGACTTGTTAATCTTAAGTTAGTCTTAAGTTTGCTTGAAATACTTTGTATATTAAGGGTCTTTCTGCATAAATATCTAAATGTCATTCACCTCTGTACAAACATTGTATCATCTTGAAATAAATTATCTTAATTATAAAATGTAATCAAACATTTCGTATTTGTATCTATAAAGTTTACTGGAGATGGCCGATTAAAACAAAAAAAAATCATACAAATAATATATAAACTCACCTGAGGCTGTAGTTTTCCTCTCCTTTAGTTTAGATAGAGGAATCCACTTAACGTTCATAGCAGATATGACTTTTGTGCTCTTTACGTGTCTAATTGTACAGAACACCAGTGTCCCGTTACTACCAACGATGGGCTTGTGGTAGAATTGACCTAGATCCTGGATCCCAAGCGTTGTCTGAAAAGAGAAAATCGTATATGCTGTATATTCCCATATGTAAAGTGTACAGGCACTACGTTTTTACCTTGTGGGGAGAGCCGGATTAAGTATGTCCCTGGGGTACAGGTAGCGTGAGGCCCCTGGGCTACAGGTGCAGTGAGGCCCCTGGGCTACAGGTACTGTGAGGCCCCTGGGATACAGGTACTGTGAGAACCTTGGGCTACAGGTAATGTGAGGCCCCTGAGCTACAGGTACTGTGAGAACCCTGGAATACAGGTATTGTGAGGCCCCTGAGCTACAGGTACTGTGAGAACCCTGGGATACAGGTATTGTGAGGCCCCTGGGCTACAGGTATTGTGAGGCCCCTGAGCTACAGGTACTGTGAGAACCCTGGGCTACAGGCTCGCTACAGAGCACTTCACTTTACGGTGTTTCTCTCGTACAACATTTTTCAGTAAACATATTCAACACTCACAATAAGCTAAGAATGATGAAATATTTTGAAGTAAGTAATGTGTGCACTGTTTATGCATTTTGTAGGCCTACCTCTATTGCTCACTTAATATATAATAATATAAACATGTTATCAGGCTTTTATATGTATTTGAAATTGGAAAAAGGCTATGATTCACTTTACAGCAGTAGCCAGGAGTCTAACCTGCTGTATAAGTGAGGCTCTCCTGTACAGTAGTAGCCCAGAATCTAATCTGATGTATAAATGGGAAATGTAACATCCTTGCTCATCCTTCAGAGTGTAGGCACTGTACTTGCCACATTCAGGACTCAAGTACTGCTAACTGGTTTACCCTGAATCTTTCCATAAATGTTACTTGCTCACACTCCAACAGCACGTCAATCATAAAAACCATTTGTCTCCACTCACTCCTATTTAATACGCACACTTGCTGGAAGTCCAAGCCCCTCTCACACAAAGCCTCCTTTACCCCTTCCCTCCAACCTTTCCCTGGATGACCCCTACCCTGCCTTCCCTCAGCTACAGATTTATTCACTCCCCAAGTCATCCTATTTTGTTCTATCATCTCTAAATGTCTGAACCACTTCAACAACCCCTCTCCAGCCTTCTGGATAATACTTTTAGTAACCCCGCACCTCCTTCTAATCTCCAAACTATGGATTTTCTGCATAATATTTACACTATACTTTGCCCTCAGAGTTATTCCTTGTGTAACATTCAGAATAGATGGGACAAATATTCTTAGGGTTTGAGAAGGCCTAGCCTATTATCTGTGCCTCTCAGCATTCAGAAAACAAGTGAAAGTAGGACTGTACCTGCATGTTGGCTGCAGCTTGCAATAGTTTGATTCTGAAAGGTACATTTGAGGCTGATCCAGCACGATCCATGTCTTGTCTGAGAGATTTGACGTCTTCCCAAGTTGTAGCTACCTGGAAATACAACAATTTTATCAAATACAAATTTAAAACTGAGTATGATACTAGGGTGTCCCATAGCTGGGTTGGTAGCACACTTGCCTCACACACTGAGGTCTGCTCCACAAACTTGACCATTATGGTACAAGAGGCCATGCACTTACATACTTCAAATCCTACCTTACTAACAGGTATCAATATATTTCCATTAAGGACACACCCTCATCATCACAACCACTTGATACTGGAGTGCCTCAGGGAAGTGTCCTTGGTCCCCTGCTCTTCCTCTTATACATCAATGATCTTCCCAATGTATCACAACACCTGAAACCAATTCTCTTTGCTGACGACATGACTTATATCATCTCCCACCCAAATCTTGCCTCACTCAACACCATTGTTAATGAAGAGATCCTAAAAACATCAACCTGGGTGATGGCCAATAAGTTTACACTTAACACTGACAAAATCTATATTCTCTTTGGTAACAGATCAGGTGCTGCACAACTCGACATTAAGATCAACAGTGCTCTTATAGCTCCTATAATGAGGGCAAATTCCTGGGTCTACACCTTGAGAGCACCCTGAATTTCAGCACCCATATCCAACACATAACAAAAAAACACTTTCTTGATAGTTGTGACAGGACCCATAGGCATAACACCAGACACAAACATCTCTATGACATTCCTCGTGTCCGGCTAAATCTATACAAAAATTCAATGTACCTAAAAGGGCCTAAAATCTGGAACTCCCGCCTGAAAACTCTAGAACTGCCGACTCAACCACCGTTTTGAAAAGCAACGATAAAAAACGCCTTATCTTGCTAACACACCCTAAGAAGTAGCATTACTCTGCCCAAAATACCTAGGCCTACTAGTGGCCTTCTTTGTAATAAGTACTTTATTTTATAATTCTCTTATATTGTGTAAATCACATATTGTAATCTATACAGAGAAATAGACATTTGAATTTAAATTAGGACGTGTTTCCTTAAGACACTTGTTGTCACTGTTCACCTAGCAGTAAGTACCTGGGTGTTAGTGGACTGGTGTGGGTGGCATCCTGGGGACAAAATTAACCTTAGTTGCAGGAAATGCCTTGCATAACCAGGGACATTCTATACAGTATATTATTGATGTCAACTATGGTCTGTGTAAGTTGTATAATGTACTGGTGTAGAAATAACATTATTATTAATCTTAAGTTAATTTTAAGCCAGCCCTATATGCTATGCATATAAGTGGCTTTGGCATGCTGCTCTTACCTGTATTTTTTGTACCTCTGTTTGTATGCTAAATTTCTAAATTTCTAAATTTCTATTATTCTTTCTTTCAACACACTGGCAGTATCCCACCCAGGCGGGGTGGCCCAAAAAGAAAAATGAAAGTTTCTCCTTTTACATTTAGTAATATATACAGGAGAAGGGGTTACTAGCCCCTTGCTCCCGGCATTTTAGTTGCTTCTTACAACACGCATGGCTTACGGAGGAAGAATTCTGTTCCACTTCTCCATGGAGATAAAAGGAAATAAATAAGAATAAGAACTAGAAAGAAAATAGAAGAAAACCCAGAGATGTGTGTATATATATACTTTTACATGTATGTGTAGTGTGACCTAAGTGTAAGTAGAAGTAGCAAGACCTACCTGAAATCTTGCATGTTTATGAGACAGACAAAAGACACCAGCAATCCTACCATCATGTAAAACAATTACAGGATTTCATTTTACACTCTCTTGGCAGGATGGTAGTACCTCCCTGGGTGGTTGTTGTCTACCAACCTACTACCACAGGACGGTAGTACCTCCCTGGGTGGTTGTCGTCTACCAACCTACTACCACAGGATGGTAGTACCTCCCTGGGTGGTTGTTGTCTACCAACCTACTACCACAGGATGGTAGTACCTCCCTGGGTGGTTGTTGTCTACCAACCTACTACCACAGGACGGTAGTACCTCCCTGGGTGGTTGTTGTCTACCAACCTACTACCACAGAACAGTAGTACCTCCCTGGGTGGTTGTTGTCTACCAACCTACTACCACAGGACGGTAGTACCTCCCTGGGTGGTTGTTGTCTACCAACCTACTACCACAGGATGGTAGTACCTCCCTGGGTGGTTGTTGTCTACCAACCTACTACCACAGGACGGTAGTACCTCCCTGGGTGGTTGTTGTCTACCAACCTACTACCACAGGACGGTAGTACCTCCCTGGGTGGTTGTTGTCTACCAACCTACTACCACAGAACAGTAGTACCTCCCTGGGTGGTTGTTGTCTACCAACCTACTACCACAGGATGGTAGTACCTCCCTGGGTGGTTGTTGTCTACCAACCTACTACCACAGGACGGTAGTACCTCCCTGGGTGGTTGTTGTCTACCAACCTACTACCTAGGATTATTATTATTATTATTACTATTATTATTTGAACATTCTACATACAGTTTTTTTTTTTACCTTCAAAAGCCAGTGGAAGTGGGTTCTTGCTTGCCCCATGTAGTCGTCATCAACTTCAACTACTGGAGGAAATTCTTCTGTCGTAACGAGGACTTTGTCTTCGCAGTAGATGACACACGCAAGGTACGAACCCCTGGTGAACAATATATAATTGATTATGTGTGTGTATGGGGGTTAGTTTGCTTGCTTATGTTACTTTGGTTATTATTATTATTATAATAAAGGGGGAAGCACTAAACCCGGAGGATTATACAGCGCCTGGGGGGGGATGTGGAAGGCATTCAGGCTTAATTCGGGGAACTGGAGCACAGATCCAATTCCCTAAATCAAGAGCCCCTCACCAACATCAAGGAACCTTCCTTGAGGGATACTTAGGTTATGTACTGTGATTTTCATGGCCATGGTGTGGGTAGGTGGTGTCCCACACCTATGATGTGCATTGGAGGTACCTCCACACCCACAAAATAGATATGTGGTAGAGAGAGAGTGATTATCTCTCTCTCTCTCTCTCTCTCTCTCTCTCTCCCTCAGGATGGTTGAAAAGTGGAATAACTTGTATGAGGCAGTGTGGACACTCAATACACAGCTTTATGAGGAAATATGAAAAGGCCCAAGAAGCCAGGAGCTAATTCTCAACCCTCAGAAACAAACTGATAAACGCAAACATCCATACACACAACAATACACACACACACACAATTTTTAAAGAATCTCTCTTACTTTTTTAAATTTCTATGAAATTTTGGTGCAGGAGTGAAGAGATTTTTGATACTCTTCTTTTTCTGTGCCTTCCTAAGGTTGAGTGGCGTCTCCTGGCCCGGTTCTATTGCCTTAATTTCCGCCGCGTGCTGCGGCCTGGAATTACAGACCTGGTTGAACAAGTCATCCAATTCGCTCACTTGTCCATCCAATCTAGGCTTCTGGCAGTCTGCATCTCTCCAGCCTAAAAAAAAATGCATTTTTTTTCACATTAAGGCTCACTGAAAAATACCATTCATCATTTAAAAGCATTAACGTCCACTGATATATGCAGAGTATGATCTACTTAGTGGGCTAATAACCCCTTCTGTATAAATTACTAAATCAATCAATCAATTAAGTTTATTCTCTGTAAGGATTACAATGCGGGGTTTACAGATTTTGGATATTGTGTGGTTTACATGGTTTAAAATACTAATTACAGAGGGGGCCATTAGAACACCTAGCATGGCTAAGCATTTAGGGCAGACTTAGATTAATTCTGAACTTTAAATTGTTACAGATTATGGTATTATTCAAATTCAAATTCAAAGTTTATTCTCTATAAGGATTACAATGCTGAGTTTACAGAATTTGGTTATTGTGTGGTTTACATGTAGTAAAATAATGATTACATTGACTACAGTGACTACATTGCTGGTAGCAAGGTGCTAGTAGCAACTTCTCCTGTATATAAAATAACCCTTAATTTTGCTTTACTAATAATCCCTAAACACAGCAGTGGAGGTGGCAGTGAAAAAGTGCTAATTCTTCACTTATTGTGGATAATTTACAAATTCAATTTTATCATGGGCATGAATGTAAATGAAAAATGACATATATAGGGTTTGCTACTGTCCACGGTTTTGGGTATCCATGGAAGGTCTTGAATCATATTCCCTGCGGATACAGGGGACTACTGTATTAATCTTTGATGGCAATCAACTCACTAGAGGGTATGGCAGCTGGGGGACTGGTCAGTACAGGGGGCCCATAGTCCTTCAAATTCCCCGCACACACTCTGAAGTGATGTCTCTTGCCCTGTGATAGACCGTCCACAAAAACTGACATGCGACGCAAGTCGTGAATTTCCAGACTGCCGCCCACAGACGCCCACTCGTCCATACTCCATTCAACTGTAAGAGAAGACTTTATTAAACATACTGTACTCGGAGGCAGCATTAAAGGGACACTGAAATCCTCAAATATTCTATCAATCCCAATAGCTTCCCAAGTAATGATGATAATGATAATAATGATAACAATAATGCATTATTACTGTGAACATACAGATAATGTAGATGTTTTATTTATTAACACACTGGCCATTTTCCACCAAAGCAGACTGACTCAAAAAAAAAAAAAAAAAAAAAAACTTTTACCATCATTCATTCCATCACTGTCTTGCTAGAGGCATGTCTACACTACAGTTCAAAAGCTGCAACACATCTCCACTTATCCTTCAGAATGCAGGCACTGTACTTCCCACCTCCAGGACTCAAGTCCTGCTAATTGGCTTCCCTGAATCCCTTCATAAATGTTACTTTGCTCACACTCCAACAGCATGTCAAGTCATAAAAACCATTTGCCTCTGCTTACTCCTATGTAACACGCTCATGCATGCTTGCTGGAAGTCCAAGCCCCTCGCACACAAAACCTCCTTTACCCCCTCCCTCCAACCATTTCTAGGACGACCCTTATCCCAACTTCCTTCCATTACGGATATAATTACATGCTCTCTAAGTCATTCTATTTTGTTCTATCCTCTCTAAATGTCTGAACCACGACAACAACCCCACCTCAACCCGCACCTCCTTCTAATCTCCAAACTACGGATTATCTGCATTATATTCACACCACACATTGCCCTCAGACATGACATCTCCACTGCCTCCAGCTTCCTCCTCCAGTGCCTCCAGCCTCCTCCTCCAGTGCCTCCAGCCTCCTCCAGTGCCTCCAGCTTCCTTCTCCAGTGCCTCCAGCCTCCTCCTCCAGTGCCTCCAGCCTCCTCCAGTGCCTCCAGCTTCCTCCTCCAGTGCCTCCAGCCTCCTCCTCCAGTGCCTCCAGCCTCCTCCAGTGCCTCCAGCTTCCTTCTCCAGTGCCTCCAGCCTCCTCCTCCAGTGCCTCCAGCCTCCTCCTCCAGTGCCTCCAGCCTCCTCCTCCAGTGCCTCCAGCCTCCTCCAGTGCCTCCAGCCTCCTCCTCCAATGCCTCCAGCCTCCTCCTCCAGTGCCTCCAGCCTCCTCCTCCAGTGCCTCCAGCCTCCTCCTCCAGTGCCTCCAGCCTCCTCCTCCAGTGCCTCCAGCCTCCTCCTCCAGTGCCTCCAGCTGCCTCCTCCTCCAGTGCCTCCAGCCTCCTCCAGTGCCTTCAGTGCCTCCAGCCTCCTCCACTACTGCCTCCAGTCTCCTCCACTACTGCCTCCAACCTCCTCCACTACTGCCTCCAACCTCCTCCACTACTGCCTCCAACCTCCTCCACTACTGTCTCCAACCTCCTCCACTACTGCCTCCAGCCTTCTCTTCCACTGCCTCCAGCCTCCTCCACTGCCTCCAGCCTCCTCCAGCCTCCTTCTCCACTGCCTCCAGCCTCCTCCACTGCCTCCAGCCTCCTCCACTGCCTCCAGTCTCCTCCACTGCCTCCAGTCTCCTCCACTGCCTCCAGCCTCCTCCACTGCCTCCAGCCTCCTCCACTGCCTCCAGCCTCCTCCACTGCCTTCAGCCTCCTCCACTGCCTCCAGTCTCCTCCACTGCCTCCAGCCTCCACCACTGCCCCCAGCCTTCTCCTCCACTGCCTCCAGCCTTCTCCTCCACTGCCTCCAGCCTCCTCCACTGCCTCCAGCCTCCTCCACTGCCTCCAGCCTCCTCCACTGCCTCCAGCCTCCTCCACTGCCTTCAGCCTCCTCCACTGCCTCCAGTCTCCTCCACTGCCTCCAGCCTCCACCACTGTCCCCAGCCTTCTCCTCCACTGCCTCCAGCCTTCTCCTCCACTGCCTCCAGCCTTCTCCACTGCCTCCAGCCTTCTCCTTGTTACAACATTCACCAACCATGCTTCACGCCCATATAATAGTGTTGGTATAACTATACTCTCATACATTCCCATCTTTGCTTCCATGGACAAAGTTCTTTGTCCCCTCAGACTCCTCAGAGCACCACTCACCTTTTTACCCTCATCAGTGCTATGATTCACCTCATCTTTCATAGACCCATCCGCTGACACGTTCACTCCTAAATATCTGAATACATTCACCTCCTCCATACTCTCTCCCTCCAATCTGATATTTCATTACCTAACTTTTTTTTATCCTCTTCACCTTACTCTTTCTAACGTTCACTTTTAATATCCTTCTTTTACATACTCTACCAAACTTGTCCACCAACTTCTCTTCAGAATCTCCTAAAAGCACAGAAGTATATTCTAGGTATATGTTTATTAGAGACATGTTCAAGCCTAACTTTAAACTATCAATATGCCCATACAGGCCTATTGTAATCACAATAGGCCTGTATGGGTATACTGATAGATATTTAAAGATAATAATTCGTGGCGACTACCAGCATTACCTTTGTATTTTGTTGTGATGGCACAGTTCTGTGGTTCGGGTTCCCTGAAGGTGACTCTGACGCGGGTGCTGTCGATGACTTCCACAGTGGCTCTGGTGGGAGGACCTGGAGCCTCTGTCAACCAGGAAAGTCAAGTCATTAAAGCATCAGGACAAAAAGGAAAGAAACTATGATAGTGAATGTGTAAATATGACAGTGAATACACGTATATATATTTTTTTGGGGTGGAGGCCACTTTACCTTGGTTAGAAACGGCCATAGTGTTCAACCTTGTACCAGGCAGGCAACTATATTTTCTGGCCTGCCTGGTAGAGGGTTAAAGACAATGGCCATCCCCCACCAAGGCAGGGTTTACTTGGAGTTTACCTGGAGAGGGTTTCGGGGGTCAACGCCCCCCCAGCCCGGTCTGAGACCAGGCCTCATGGTGGATCAGGGTCTGATCAACCAGGCTGTTACTGCTGGCTGCATGCAAGCTGATGTACGAACCACACCCCAGTTGGTCAGGTACTGATTTTAGGTGCCTGTCCAGTGCCTTCTTGAAGATAGCCAGGGGTCTATTGGTAATCCCCCTTATGTATGCTGGGAGGCAATTGAACAGTCTTGTGCCCTGGACACTTATTGTGTTGTCTCTCAGTGTACTTGTGGCACCTCTGCTTTTCATCGGGGGAATGTTACATCTCCTGCCAAGTCTTTTGCTTTCATATGGAGTGATTTTCGTGTGCAAGTTTGGTACCAATCCCTCCAGGATCTTCCAAGTGTATATTATCATGTATCTCTCTCGTTTGCGTTCCAGGGAATACAGTAGTTTAAGTGCCTTATTGCACTTATGTGTGCCATGAAAGTTCTTTGTACACTCTCCAGGTCTGCAATGTTGCCAGCCTTGAAGGGGGCCATTAGTGTACAGCAGTATTCCAGCCTAGAGAGCACAAGCGATTTGAAGAGAATCATCATGGGCTTGGTGTCCCTAGTTTTGAAGGTTCTCATTATCCATTCTATCATTTTCCTAGCAGATGAAGTAGATACATTGTTGTGGTCTTTGAAGGCGAGATCCTCTGACATTATCACTCCCAGGTCCTTCACATTACCTTTCCACTCTATTGTATGGTTAGAATTTGTGGTATACCCTGACATATTTTTAATTTTTTCAAGTTTTCCATATCTGAGTAGTTGAAATTTCTCCTCATTGAACTTCATATTGTTTTGAGTGGCCCATTCTAAGATTTGGTTTATGTCCGCTTGGAGTCTCGCAGCATCTTCGATTGAGGTCACTGTCATGGTGATCTGGGTGTCATCCACAAAGGAAGACATGGAGCTATGGCTTACATCTCTGTCTATGTCAGAAATGAGGATGAGGAATAGAATACTGTGCCTTGTGGAACAGAGCTTTTTACCGTGGCTGTCTGGGACTTTACTCTGTATACTATTATTCTTTGTGTTCTGTTTGTCAGGAAGTTGTAGATCCATCTACCAACTTTTCCCGTCATTCCTTTATCCGGCATTTTGTGTGCTGTTACACCAAGGTCACACTTGTCAAAAGCTTTTGCAAAGTCTGTATACTACATCTGTATTTTGTTTATCCTCTACAGCATCCAGGACCTTGTCATAGTGGTCCAGTAGCTGGGACAGGTAGGAGTAACCTGCTCTAAACCCGTGTTGCCCTGGGTTGTGTAATTGATGGGTATGTGGGTGGTTGGCTAGCTATATTGCTTCTTAGAACCCTCTCAAAGATTTTTATATGGGATGTTAGTGCTATCGGTCTGCAGTTCTTTGCAATTGCTTTACTGCCACCTTTGTGGAGTGGGGCTATGTCTGTTGTTTTTAGTGTGTGTGGGATGACCCCTGTGTCCATGTTCCCTCTCCATAAAATGCTGAAGGCATGCAATAGGGACTTCTTGCAGTTCTTGATGAACACGGAATTCCATAAGTCTGGGCCTGGGACAGAGTGCATGGGCATGTCATTAATTGCCTCCTCAAAATCTTGTGGAGTTATAATAATATGAGAGTTTTGGGATGACCAAATTCTGGGTTTCGTTCATAAAGAATTCATTTGGATTGTCGACCCTTAGAGTGAGCAGTGGATCGCTGAGCACTGAGTCATGTTGGGACTTTAGTATCTAGCTCATTTCTTGGCTATCATCTGTGTATGTCCCAACCCGCCTAAGCAGGGGCCCAATACTGGATGTTGTTCTTCCCTTAGATTTGGCATAAGAGAAGTATTTTTTTTCAGTTTCCTTTATGGCTTTTAGTTCTTCCAGTGATTCTTGTCTCCTATAAGATTCCTTCAGCTTAAGTTCGATATTTGTAATTTCATTGACTAGTGTTTCCCTTCATATTTCAGATATATTGATCCCACTCAGCAGCTCTGTGACTCTTTGCCTTCGTCTGTATAGGGAATGTCTCTCTCTTTCTAGTTTACATCTTCTCTTTCTTTTTCTTAATGGAATGTGTCTTGAACAGATCTCAAGAACCAAATAAAGAGAAGAAGCATATTCACCATCATTCACATAATCACTGTCTTGTTAGAAGTGTGTTGAAGGGTGTGGGGGCCACATAGACAGCGCCCATGACTGCTGATACCCCATGGTCATGGGTCACACTAGAATCATACATGAATGTTACTCACACCAGTGAGTATTATCTTCACACTAGTGAGGATAAATTCATTCTCAACCGTGGCTGGGTTGGTAGTGCACTTGCCTCACACAATGAGGACCGTGGTTCGATCCCCATTGGAAACATTAGGATGTGTTTTCTTAAGACAATTGCTGTCACTGTTCACCTAGCAGTAAGTAGGTACCTGGGTGTTAGTTACCTTACACTTGCTGTCACTGTTCACCTAGCAGTAAGTAGGTACCTGGGTGTTAGTTACCTTACACTTGCTGTCACTGTTCACCTAGCAGCAAGTAGGTACCTGGGTGTTAGGTGACTGGTGTAGGTAGCATCCTGGGTACAAAATTAACCTAAGTTGTGGGAAATGCTCTACATAACCAGGAACTTTCTATATAGTATGTCATAGGTGTGAGCTATGGTCTGTATAAGTTGTACCATGTAGGTATAAACATTATTATTCAGCTCCTGGAGGTTGAATCCAAGGGAAGGACAACTCCAGCACCTTGGAATGAAAGTCCTTCAGCACTGAAAGATGAAATGAATATCGTGGGGAGTAATATGACACTAGGATGATCAGTGTTAAGATTCATCAGTTAATTGCCTAACACAAGTGCCCCTTGATCTCTGTATTAGGGAGAAGATGTCTCACACCTTGGGTACATCTCTCTCTCTCTCTCCCTCCCTCTCTCTGTCTCTCTCTCCTCCTCTCTCTCTCTCTCTCCCTCTCTCTGTCTCTCTCTCCCTTGCTACCTTCTTTCCTCAGACATATACCCTATATCATCCAGTCTACTCCACCCCATGTTATATACTTCACAATATTTGAGGGTTGGAACAGACACGACTTATTCATCAACTTGTCTGAATAATACCATCTTCAACTTACTCATCAATTTGTGCAAGAATGGTATACAATACCGACAAGATGAAATTAAGACACATGTGCAACATCTGGGTATCTTTCTTGTAGACGTTCCGCCATCCAGTGGCTTTATCAATACAAATTCTAGGACATAATTAGAAGACAATAGAACTATATACAGAAGATGAGGTAATCAGTCCCTCAACCTTGGAGTTGAGGGACTGATTACCTACTCCAAGGTTGAGGGACTGATTACCTCATCTTCTGTACATAGTTCTACTGTCCTCAAGTTATGTCCTGAAATTTGTATTGATAAAGCCACTGGAGGGCGAAACGTCTACAAGAAAGATACCCAGATGTTGCACATGTGTCTCAATTACTCATCAATTTGTTTGTATTTTGTACCAACTTTGACTCATCTGTTCAACATGATAATTTTACACCAATCTCGACTTACTCATCTGTTCAACATGATAATTTTACACCAATCTCGACTTACTCATCTGTTCAACATGATAATTTTACACCAATCTCGACTTACTCATCTGTTCAACATGATAATTTTACACCAATCTCGACTTACTCATCTGTTCAAGACCCGTCCTCATCTTCACCAGCATCTTCACTCGTCTGTCCCAGAGTTCACGCTGTCGTTCACGTTCACGTGCGTGTTGAACGCCCACCGTCACCTTGGTGTCCAAATCCTCCCTACGCCTCTCAGCGGCGTTCACCAGGTCGTTCAGGTGGTGGATGCGCTGTTCAATCGTACCTGAACGACAAGTGTTCAGTTGAACTTTCGACCCATTATTTTTGTGTTATTTCAAGTATATAGCAACAATACGACTAGCCAAGGACTCGAACCCACGTCGTTTTGGCCCACCTCATAGTAAGGGAAAATCACATGATGCTCTAACCCACAGGGCCACCAAAACGAGGAGTAGAATGAAATTAGCTCAGAGGCACCCACACCACATGTCCTCGGATCAAGGTAGAACACCTAGCTCTGCTGGGTGCTTTCTTGTAGGATTTGGTAGTCCTGTGGGTTAGAACATCATGCGATTTTCGCTCACCATGAGGTGGGCGAAAACAACATGGGTTCGAGTCCTTGGCTAGTTGCAGTGTTGTTATTGATTAAATACCACTCGTTGGTGGTTACAATAAATTATATATATATATATATATATATATATATATATATATATATATATATATATATATATATATATATATTATATATATACACCGACGAACACGGTGTACACGGTGTGTACATCGCCAGTTGTAGGAAGTGATGCACATGTACATCTGATTACCTGTACACCTTATCTGGGTGATGTACACTGGAATGAGTGTAGTAGACACTGTGTACACCAGTGTACACCAGTGGTGTACATCTCTCAGTGTATGTACACTGTTTTCACTAGCCTGCTATCTTCATTAGCCTGCCATCTTCACTAGCCTGCCATCTTCACTAGCCTGCCATCTTCACTAGCCTGCCATCTTCACTAGCCTGCCATCTTCACTAGCCTGCCATCTTCACTAGCCTGCCATCTTCACTAGCCTGCTATCTTCACTAGCCTGCCATCTTCACTAGCCTGCCATCTTCACTAGCCTGCCATCTTCACTAGCCTGCCATCTTCACTAGCCTGCCATCTTCACTAGCCTGCTATCTTCACTAGCCTGCCATCTTCACTAGCCTGCCATCTTCACTAGCCTGCCATCTTCACTAGCCTGCCATCTTCACTAGCCTGCCATCTTCACTAGCCTGCCATCTTCACTAGCCTGCTATCTTCACTAGCCTACCTTGTCTTCACTAGCCTGCCTTGTCTTCACTAGCCTGCCTTGTCTTCACTAGCCTACCTTGTCTTCACTAGCCTGCCTTGTCTTCACTATCCTACCTTGTCTTCACTATCCTACCTTGTCTTCACTAGCCTACCTTGTCTTCACTAGCCTGCCTTGTCTTCACTAGCCTACCTTGTCTTCACTATCCTACCTTGTCTTCACTAGCCTACCTTGTCTTCACTAGCCTGCCATCTTCACTAGCCTGCCATCTTCACTAGCCTGCCATCTTCACTAGCCTGCCATCTTCACTAGCCTGCCATCTTCACTAGCCTACCCTGTCTTCACTAGCCTGCCTTGTCTTCACTAGCCTGCCTTGTCTTCACTAGCCTGCCATCTTCACTAGCCTGCCATCTTCACTAGCCTGCCATCTTCACTAGCCTGCCATCTTCACTAGCCTGCCATCTTCACTAGCCTGCCATCTTCACTAGCCTACCTTGTCTTCATTAGCCTGCCATCTTCACTAGCCTACCTTGTCTTCACTAGCCTGCCTTGTCTTCACTAGCCTGCCTTGTCTTCACTAGCCTGCCTTGTCTTCACTAGCCTGCCTTGTCTTCACTAGCCTACCTTGTCTTCACTAGCCTGCCTTGTCTTCACTAGCCTGCCTTGTCTTCACTAGCTTGCCTTGTCTTCACTAGCCTGCCTTGTCTTCACTAGCCTGCCTTGTCTTCACTAGCCTGCCTTGTCTTCACTAGCCTGCCTTGTCTTCACTAGCCTGCCTTGTCTTCACTAGCCTACCTTGTCTTCACTAGCCTGCCTTGTCTTCACTAGCCTACCTTGTCTTCACTAGCCTGCCTTGTCTTCACTAGCCTGCCTTGTCTTCACTAGCCTGCCTTGTCTTCACTAGCCTGCCTTGTCTTCACTAGCCTACCTTGTCTTCACTAGCCTACCTTGTCTTCACTAGCCTGCCTTGTCTTCACTAGCCTACCTTGTCTTCACTAGCCTACCTTGTCTTCACTAGCCTGCCTTGTCTTCACTAGCCTACCTTGTCTTCACTAGCCTGCCTTGTCTTCACTAGCCTACCTTGTCTTCACTAGCCTGCCTTGTCTTCACTAGCCTGCCTTGTCTTCACTAGCCTACCTTGTCTTCACTAGCCTGCCTTGTCTTCACTAGCCTACCTTGTCTTCACTAGCCTACCTTGTCTTCACTAGCCTACCTTGTCTTCACTAGCCTACCTTGGCTTCACTAGCCTGCCTTGTCTTCACTAGCCTGCCTTGTCTTCACTAGCCTACCTTGTCTTCACTAGCCTGCCTTGTCTTCACTAGCCTACCTTGTCTTCACTAGCCTACCTTGGCTTCACTAGCCTACCTTGTCTTCACTAGCCTGCCTTGTCTTCACTAGCCTGCCTTGTCTTCACTAGCCTACCTTGTCTTCACTAGCCTACCTTGTCTTCACTAGCCTGCCTTGTCTTCACTAGCCTGCCATCTTCACTAGCCTACCTTGTCTTCACTAGCCTGCCTTGTCTTCACTAGCCTGCCTTGTCTTCACTAGCCTACCTTGTCTTCACTAGCCTGCCTTGTCTTCACTAGCCTGCCATCTTCACTAGCCTGCCATCTTCACTAGCCTGCCTTGTCTTCACTAGCCTACCTTGTCGTCACTAGCCTACCTTGTCTTCACTAGCCTACCTTGGCTTCACTAGCCTACCTTGTCTTCACTAGCCTGCCTTGTCTTCACTAGCCTACCTTGTCTTCACTAGCCTACCTTGGCTTCACTAGCCTACCTTGTCTTCACTAGCCTGCCTTGTCTTCACTAGCCTACCTTGTCTTCACTAGCCTGCCTTGTCTTCACTAGCCTGCCTTGTCTTCACTAGCCTACCTTGTCTTCACTAGCCTGCCTTGTCTTCACTAGCCTGCCTTGTCTTCACTAGCCTGCCTTGTCTTCACTAGCCTACCTTGTCTTCACTAGCCTACCTTGTCTTCACTAGCCTACCTTGTCTTCACTAGCCTGCCTTGTCTTCACTAGCCTGCCTTTTCTTCACTAGCCTGCCTTGTCTTCACTAGCCTACCTTGTCTTCACTAGCCTGCCTTTTCTTCACTAGCCTACCTTGTCTTCACTAGCCTGCCTTGTCTTCACTAGCCTACCTTGTCTTCACTAGCCTGCCTTGTCTTCACTAGCCTACCTTGTCTTCACTAGCCTGCCTTGTCTTCACTAGCCTACCTTGTCTTCACTAGCCTGCCATCTTCACCAGCCTGCCTTGTCTTCACTAGCCTACCTTGTCTTCACTAGCCTGCCTTGTCTTCACTAGCCTGCCTTGTCTTCACTAGCATACCTTGTCTTCACTAGCCTGCCTTGTCTTCACTAGCCTACCTTGTCTTCACTAGCCTGCCTTGTCTTCACTAGCCTGCCTTGTCTTCACTAGCCTGCCTTGTCTTCACTAGCCTACCTTGTCTTCACTAGCCTGCCTTGTCTTCACTAGCCTGCCATCTTCACCAGCCTACCTTGTCTTCACTAGCCTACCTTGTCTTCACTAGCCTACCTTGTCTTCACTAGCCTACCTTGTCTTCACTAGCCTGCTTGCTTACTGCCTCCTTGTCTTCACTAGCCTACCTTGTCTTCACTAGCCTACCTTGTCTTCACTAGCCTACCTTGTCTTCACTAGCCTACCTTGTCTTCACTAGCCTACCTTGTCTTCACTAGCCTGCCTTTTCTTCACTAGCCTGCCTTTTCTTCACTAGCCTGCCTTTTCTTCACTAGCCTGCCATCTTCACTAGCCTGCCATCTTCACTAGCCTACCTTGTCTTCACTAGCCTGCCTTGTCTTCACTAGCCTGCCTTGTCTTCACTAGCCTGCCTTGTCTTCACTAGCCTACCTTGTCTTCACTAGCCTACCTTGTCTTCACTAGCCTGCCTTGTCTTCACTAGCCTACCTTGTCTTCACTAGCCTGTCTTGTCTTCACTAGCCTGCCATCTTCACTAGCCTGCCTTGTCTTCACTAGCCTGCCATCTTCACTAGCCTGCCATCTTCACTAGCCTACCTTGTCTTCACTAGCCTACCTTGTCTTCACTAGCCTGCCTTGTCTTCACTAGCCTGCCTTGTCTTCACTAGCCTGCCTTGTCTTCACTAGCCTACCTTGTCGTCACTAGCCTACCTTGTCTTCACTAGCCTACCTTGTCTTCACTAGCCTGCCTTGTCTTCACTAGCCTGCCTTGTCTTCACTAGCCTGCCTTGTCTTCACTAGCCTGCCTTGTCTTCACTAGCCGGCCTTGTCTTCACTAGCCTGCCTTGTCTTCACTAGCCTGCCTTTTCTTCACTAGCCTGCCTTGTCTTCACTAGCCTGCCTTTTCTTCACTAGCCTGCCATCTTCACTAGCCTACCTTGTCTTCACTAGCCTGCCTTGTCTTCACTAGCCTGCCATCTTCACTAGCCTGCCATCTTCACTAGCCTACCTTGTCTTCACTAGCCTGCCTTGTCTTCACTAGCCTGCCATCTTCACTAGCCTGCCATCTTCACTAGCCTGCCTTTTCTTCACTAGCCTGCCTTGTCTTCACTAGCCTGCCATCTTCACTAGCCTGCCTTGTCTTCACTAGCCTGCCATCTTCACTAGCCTACCTTGTCTTCACTAGCCTACCTTGTCTTCACTAGCCTACCTTGTCTTCACTAGCCTGCCATCTTCACTAGCCTACCTTGTCTTCACTAGCCTACCTTGTCTTCACTAGCCTACCTTGTCTTCACTAGCCTGCCATCTTCACTAGCCTACCTTGTCTTCACTAGCCTGCCATCTTCACTAGCCTGCTATCTTCAGTAGCCTGCTATCTTCACTAGCCTGCTATCTTCACTAGTCTGTCATTTTCACTAGCCTGCCATCTTCACTAGCCTGCTATCTTCACTAGCCTGCCATCTTCACTAGCCTGCTATCTTCACTAGCCTGCTATCTTCACTAGTCTGCCATTTTCACTAGCCTGCCATCTTCACTAGCCTGCTATCTTCACCATGTTTGGCGAGACCCCCAGGAACCATCAGAAGGTAGCTGGAAGGTAGCAACATACCTGAGTTACTCTCAGTAGCCCCTGCTTGTTGTAGCATCTTGGCTAGGGCTACGTGGTTGTTCATCACTGCTACCTCCAACACATTAGCTCCGTCTTTGTTCACACTGGTGGTACAATAACATGGCTTAGTAGTAGTTGCAGGAGTAATGGTGTAGTAGTAATGGTGTAGTAGTAATGGTGTAGTAGTAATGGTGTAGTAGTTATAACAGTAGCAGTGATAATAACTACAAAACGTTAGGTTGATTTACCTATTTATATCTAGTTGATTGTGTTCTAGGATGTTCTTAGCCTTCTCCAGTTGTCCGTGTTCCACTGTAGCGAAAAGTGCTGAGGGAGAGAGAGATAGTGAGAGATAGATAGATAGATAATACCCAAGGTATCAATCTCACGTACCAAGTCTAGATACTAGCAGTACAAATAGCATTGTGGAGATGGCACAGTACAGTGCTAAATCAACACAGTGACAAGCACTGTCACCATCTCTGGTCCAGTGACACACCTGTCACTGCCAGCACTGCTGACATCAATATAACCTCTCAGTCACTGAGAACATAGGCCTCAATAGGCCGAGTTCCTAAGCCTCTCGGCAGACACTGACCTTAGAAAGTAGCTCTTGCAAGATGTTGCAATGACTTTCAGTAAGGTTGAATCTTGCATGCTAGACAGCTATGCAAGAGTGGGCAACTCAGAAGAGTCTGACCCAAGGTCGGGCTGATAGAATAGACAAATTTCTAGACGACCTTCGAAGATAGAGGGGGATCTATTATTGGGAATGAAGGGATGTATAATAGAGAGGATTTGTTATAGAGGCTGAAGGGAACTGTGATTCGACCCTTGGAACTACAAATAGGTGAACACACACACAAACACAAAACACAACACAACAAAAACACAACAAAACCCACCAACACACACAAAACACACACACACACACAACACACACCACACCAAACCACACCACAACACAACACACACACACACACACACCACACACACACACACACACCACACACACAACACACACAAACACACACACACACACACACAACACACAACACACACCCCACAGTGCTATTTTTGATATATGTGAACGACATGATGGAAGGAATAGACTTGAAGTGCCCCTGTTGCAGATGACGTGAAGTTGATGAGAAGAATTAAATCGGACGAGGATGAGGCAGGACTGCAAAGAGCCCTGGAGAGGTGGACATGTGGTCCCGTAACTGGCTTCTCGAATTCAATCCAGGCAAATGCAAAGTCATGAAGATTGGGGAGGGGCAAAGAAGACCGCAGACAGAGTATAGGCTAGGTGGACAAAGGGCTACAGACCCCACTCAGGGAGAAAGACCTTGGGGTGACCATAACACCGAGCACATCACCGGAGGCACACATCAACCAAATAACTGCTGCAGCATACGGGCGCCTGTCAAACCTGAGAATAGCGTTCCGATACCTTTTAAAAAGGAATCGTTCAAGACACTGTACACTGTGTATGTTAGGCCCATACTGGAGTATGCAGCACCAGTCTGGAACCCACCCTTGTCAAGCACGTCAAGAAGTTAGAGAAAGTACAAAGGTTTGCAACAAGGCTAGTCCAGAGCTCAAGGGAATGTCCGTACGAGGAAAGGTTAAGGGAAAACGGACTGACGACACTGGAGGACAGAAGGGTCAGGGGAGACATGATAACGACATACAAGATACTGCGGGGAATAGACAGGTGGACAGAGATAGGATGTTCCAGAGAGGGGACACAGGGACAAGGGGTCACAACTGGGAAACTGAAGACTCAGACGGGTCACAGGGACGTTAGGAAGTATTTCTTCAGTCATAGAGTTGTCGCAAGTGGAATACTAGCAAGTGAAGTAGGGAGGGAGGAACCCTACATTTTTTAAGAAAAGGATGACAAAGCTCAGGGGCAGAGAGGAGAGGCCCCCTAGCGATCAGTGAAAGGGGGGCCAAGTGGGTTGACCCCTCAACCCCAAAATTTGGTGAGGGGAATTTGGTGAGTACAAAACACACAACACAAAACACAAAAAAACCCAACCCCACACACACAAACACACACACCCCAAACGCAACACACAACAAACACAAACCACAACACACACAACACACACAACACACACCCCCAAACAACACACACCACACACACACCACACAAACAACACACCCCAAAACACAACACAACACACACCAACACACACCACACACACACAACAACACACACAACACCACAAAACCACACAACAAAAAACCAAAAACAACACACACAACACACACAAACCCAAAACAACAAAACACAACAACACACACACACACCACACCAAAACACACACAACACACACAACACCACAACACACACCACACACAACACACACAACATACACACACACTCACACTACACACACACAACACACACAACACACAACCACAACACACACACACAACCCACACACACACACACACACACACACACACCACACACACACACACACACACACACCACACACACAACACACAACCAAACACAAACACACACACACAAGGTACAAGTAAAAAAGAGTACAACTGTTACTCTAACTTCCCCCTCACTTAAGTGGAACAAAAACCCTAATTTGCATTCCTACCATCCCTCCATCCACGTATCCTCCATAAAACCCACCTCTCCACTTATCCTCACTCCCACTTTTTCTATCCCCCCTCCATCTATCTCTCCCTCCTCCCCCCTACCTATCACTCCATCTATCACTGAACAGGATAGCCACACACCGGCCGTTTTGCTTATTTAGATATTTTATACAGTTTTTCCCTCCCACCTCCCGCCCCACCCTACCCTCCCACCTACCCTCTGACCTCCCTCCCACCTCCCCCCACCCCTCTCACCTTCCCTCCCACCTACCCTCTCAGCTTTCCCCCCCACCTACCCCCCCTACCTCCCCTACCCTCTGACCTCCCTCTTACCCTCTTCCCCCCCACCTACCCCCCCCACCTTCCCTCCCACCTACCCTCCCACCTACCCTCCCACCCCACCCTCCCCCCCACCCTCCCACCTTTCCCTCCCCCCTACCCTCCCACCTCCTCTCACCTTCCCCCCACCCTTCCTCCCTCCCACCTACCCTCCCACCTACCCTCTCACCCCCACGACAGCCCTCCCACCTACCCTCCCAGTTCCCTCCCACCTACCTCACCACCACCCTCCACCTCCCCCAACCTATCCTCCCACCTACCCTCCCCCACCCTTCCTCCTCCCCCTTAAACCCCCCACCTACCCCTCCAAAATCCCTCCCCCTCCCTACCACCTACCCTCCACCTTCCCTCCCACCACCCTCCTCACCTCCCTCCCCACCTACCCCCCCCTACCCCCCACCTACCTTACCTTTCCCCCCCACCTACCCTCCCACCGCCCCCACCTACCCCTCCCACCTACCTCCACCTTCCCTCCACTACCCTTACCTCCCAACACACCTCCCTCCCACCTACCCTACCCCCCCCTACCCTCCCACCTTCCCTCCACCTTCCTCCCACCATCTCACCTCCTCCCACCTACCCTCCCACCTACCCCCCTCACCTCCCTCCCCACCCCTACCCCTCACCCACCCCCCCCCTACCCCCCACCTACCCTCCCCCCTACCCTTCACCTTCCCTCCCACCTACCTCCCACCTACCCCTCCCACCTACCCTTCCCCCACCTCCCCCTACCCTTTTTTCACCTTTTCCCCCCCCCCCCTTCCCTCCCCCCCCCTTCCCTCCCCCTCCCTCCCACCTTCCCCTCACCTTCCCTCCCACCTCCCCCCCCACCTACCCTCCCACCCCCCCCTCCCCCTCCCTTCCCCCCTCCCCTCCCCCTTTCCCTCCCACCCCCCCTCCCCCTTCCCTCCCCCTTCCTACCCACTTCCCTCCACCTACCTCCCACCTTCCCTCCCACCTTCCCTCAATCTTCCATCCACCTACCCTCCACTAACCCCCCCACCTACCCTCCCACCTTCCATCCCACTACCCTCCAACCCTCCCACCCCACCCTCCCACTACCTTCCACCTACCCCCCATAAATAAATTTGTGCCCCCCTAAACTTCTAATACCCCAACTACTTTTGATTGTCATTGTTGTATTCAACGACCGTTCTACCTCCTAGTCTTAATTGTGTTTAATATCTACAGAATCTATCTCCTTTTTTACAACTTACTACATCACTGTTCCATCTTATTTTTTTATAAACTAACCATAACTTGTCTTCAATAATTCTACCTCACTTTAAAAAATACTCAATTGCCCAATTTTATTCTAAATCCCTATTATTGCCCAATTTTATTCTAAATCCCTATTATTGCCCAATTTTATTCTAAATCCCTATTATTGTCCAATTTATTACAAACCCCTATTATTGCCCAATTTTTTCTAAATCCCTATTTATTGCCCAATTTTATTCTAAATCCCTATTATTGCCCAATTTTATTCTAAATCCCTATTATTGCCCAATTTTATTCTAAATCCCTATTATTGTCCAATTTTATTCTAAAATCCCTATTATTGCCCAATTTTATTCTAAATCCCTATTATTGCCCAATTTTATTCTAAATCCCTATTATTGCCCAATTTTATTCTAAATCCCTATTATTGCCCAATTTTATTCTAAATCCCTATTATTGTCCAATTTTATTCTAAAATCCCTATTATTGCCCAATTTTATTCTAAATCCCTATTATTGCCCAATTTTATTCTAAATCCCTATTATTGCCCAATTTTATTCTAAATCCCTATTATTGCCCAATTTTATTCTAAATCCCTATTATTGTCCAATTTTATTCTAAAATCCCTATTATTGCCCAATTTTATTCTAAATCCCTATTATTGCCCAATTTTATTCTAAAATCCCTATTATTGCCCAATTTTATTCTAAATCCCTATTATTGCCCAATTTTATTCTAAAATCCCTATTATTGCCCAATTTTATTCTAAATCCCTATTATTGCCCAATTTTACTTTAAACTATATTGATCAAACTTATTGTAAACTTCTTTTATTGACCATTTTTATTCCATACTTTTTTAACCTAGTATTTTCAACTACAACTTTTATATTATCCTGTCTACCATCTTACTAGCATATTATAACCAAGTCATTGCCATTTTTATTTCTATCATTTTTTATTATTTTGCTACCTTAATTTGTGTATTTTATCCTGTCAATTTAAATCTAATTATACTCTAATTCTTGTAAACAACTTATATAAGACTTTAGTGCAATTACAATTGAGAGTCTTGTTCCTTTATTATATTATTAGATTAATCACAGTTTTACTCTAGGTCATTCTAGCTCAATACATAGT